ACCTTCGCTAGCCAGCATGTGCGGTGAGCTGCGCTATTACCAAAGTCAACAACTAGAAGGGGAAAATGTGGTGTGTCGGACGTTGTACGTCAGCTTGTGCGAGAATACCTTATATCAGCATCGAATGGCTGAAAAGCTGTAGAAGTTGTGTCCTTGCTTGTACTAAGTAGTAGGTAGTGAGCCTTTTCACACTGGACCACTTTCCTCGTCAGCAAAAAGAATGAATGCAGCAGCTAGAGATCAGGGCGAATGCAGCCTAGCGAATGCGTGGGCAGCAGGCTTGATTGGCGCTGGCAGCACTTGGATCTTTCTCTGAGAAGAGTGCGGCAAGGCATGGGGTGGCGACGAGAGCTCTGCTTGTAGGCACGTTAAACATAAAGGAGCATGCCTGGAGCATGCCGGTTCGTCTGGTCAGTAGTGACCAGAGTGATCCCAGAGTTGATCCAAGAGCTGGATCCACAGAATCAGTAATGTTGCGGCTTGATTGCGTCACATAGTGCTGGGTCCTATCGTTTAGATCAGTACCCTTGCTTCAGCCAATAGATTGTGATCGGAGTGCACTCCTGAACAAAGCCAAAATGCTTGTGTTGCTTGAGTGGCAAGTTGGGAAAGCAAAGTTAAACTTAAAAGAAGAAAAAAGCAATCTGCCACTTGAGTTGCACTTGTCTTGAGACAGATCTTCCAGACAAAGTCTTTGGATCTGTTCATCAGCTGTTGATGTCAGGTGGGGATGCTGGAGATGAAGAGCTGCTTTAGGGTGTTGGCTAGTAGTCCAGGGGAACAGACCTACTGATTTGTACCCCTCATTGGAACAGCCTGACAGGCCTCCTTAGGTTGCAGCATGGCTTTCTTGAGCAGCGACATCAGCAAGGGTCTGGGCAAGCTGGATACTGTGCTGGCCGCCCCCCTGAGCGACTTCAAGCACACCACCCTGATCAGCATCGTGGCGGTCATCATTTGGTTGGGTGGCATCCATGTGTCGCTGCTGTGCTTCCTCTTTGCCCTCTTCACGCTCCCCTCCATGGCAGCATACACGTGAGACATGCTACCATTCAAGACTCCTTCCAGATAAACGTCTTCTGAGGCGGTGGATGGTTGAGACTTTGTTCCTGAATGTTGCAGTTTTGACTACATGATCACCTCGTCCTCTATCAGACCTGATGGTGGTCCCCCAAGCATTAGTGCGACAGTACTAAACTTGCTTTCTTATCAGATTTTATTGCATGCTTTTGGGAGCGTCTATCCTTTTCAGGGTCATCTTGTCATTCATTTTCAGGGTCATTTTGTCCCTTGCAAGTGACTGACTCCAAACACTGCCTGTTTCTGCAGAATTCTGGCCATTCAGTTGAGCTTGGTCTGCCTGCCTGTTGGAGAAAAGCCTTACTTTGGAGAGATGGTGGCCAAGTTTGTGTCTGACCATGCGCCCAAGTTCTTCCCCCTGGAATTCAAGGTAAGCTCCTTCTATTAAGACGATGGCAAGAAGTATTGTAGAACAGAGCAAGTAAATGATCCGTGGAGTTTGTTCCAGCAGTTTTCAGGATGTATGATGTACAACGTTTCTTCAAGACCATGTCACTGACCTGCCAATTCCGATCGTGCTGCGATAGATGGAGAACAGGGAGGCGTTTGACACTGAGAAGACATATGTTATTGGTAAGCCGCGCAGCACCTGTTCCTATTTCAGACCACTTCTGATGTCTCTGCGAAACATACTTTGAGTTGCGTTTCATGTCGCTTGCCTTCAAGTTGAAGCTTCCAGCAACAAAGAGCTGCCAGAATGGTCCATTGATTGTGGGTTACCTTTGCGTCGATTTTCCACCAGCAAAGAGCGTTGGCGCGCTTCTTCTAAGCTTTCAATACCTTTTGCCGCCCAGCCTTGGAGCCTCACTCAATATTCCCCATCGGAGTGGTGGCCATGACGCGCCAGGCGGGCCGCATGCCCCTTCAAAAGATGAAGTGCCTGGCATCCAGCGCGGTGAGCCGTACAAGTGTTTTCACTGCGCCAGCCAGTAGGGGAGGCACTTTGGGTGCTTTCAAGACTGGCCGCAGCCAGTGTTTCTGGTGCAATAGCCAATAGTTGAGACACTTCAGATGTTTTGCAAGAGCGGCACCGGAGCCAGGGCCCCCTCTGACGGGCGTGTTGGGTGCGTGGCAGATCTGGTGCATCCCGTGGGTGCGCCACCTGTGGTCGTGGCTGGGCCTGACCCCCGCCAGCCGCCAAAATTTCCGGAAGCTTCTCTCTGAAGGCTACTCCACCGTGCTCATTCCCGGGGGAGTGCAGGAGTGTCTCCACCTCCGACCCGGCGCCGAGGTGAGGCCACAACAGAGCCTTTTCACCAGGGGGCTTTAGGTCTCAAGGAATGCCCATAAAGGTGCCAGTTGAGATTGTAGGATGCTTGAGCCCAACAGAACGGCTGAGATTAGGAAGCGGGATTGCCTGCTCCGACTTGGAACAGGTCTTCGAAGCAAGCTGAAATTTTGTCAAAAGGTTGTCGGAGAGTCTACTAACAGATTTACTGTTGACTCCCTCCTTGCTCAATGTTCCGGTGGATTTCTAAGTTCTGTCGAATCTTTTCAACCTGTCCTTACGCACTAATACAGATTGTGTGCCCGAATCCACCTGGCAGGTGGTATTTCTAAAGCAGCGCACTGGTTTCATCCGCATGGCCATGGAAGCGGGGGCACCGCTCGTGCCCGCCTTCTGCTTCGGCCAGACCAACACCTACCGGTAAGTCCCTCACCTGCTCCGGATCACGCCCTCACATTGACATAACGCCGATAGCGATGTGTCTCAGCAGTGCGGCCTTGAGAGTATGCTTAGCGTGTGTTCAGCCGTCTGCTTCTGCGTTTTGTGTCTGTCCTTTTCAAAGGTAGCTACGTGGCTACGTTTTGTCAAAGGTGCACCCTTGCTGAATTTTCTGCAGAACTTCTTCTTAGCAATGGCTCACAATGTCGCTTGCCAATCACGGCTGCAATCTGTCTGCGCCCTCCCCTCATCTGCTCCGCTCCCTGTTCATTTCCTGGGCGCAGGTATTGGAAGCCGAAAGGGGAGTGGTTTGCCCGCCTGTCCCGCTCCCTGGGCTTCACGCCCCTTTTCTTCTGGGGGTGGTGCGGGTAAGCAGGCTTGCAAGCTCCTTCTGCCTCTGCATCACCTTCTCAGTGGGCACTCTCGTCCGCCCGTGAAGGCAACTCCACCAAATTTGACGTACGAAGCTTCCTGTCTTGATTAGTAGGTTTTCGGTCGCCGTCTACAGTTAGACACAGGCTTCTCCAGTCATCTCGAAGATTGCTGTTTCAGTACCACCTGGGACTGTTCGTGATACAAAAACCAGTATTCGTCTCGAGATGCCGCTCTGTATTTGTGAATGTCCTTGGGCCAAGATTCTGTGGCTGACTCTGCGGTTCACCAACGCAGGACCCCGCTCCCGTTCCCCGAGCCGATGCTCCTGGTGGTGGGCAGCCCCATCGACGTCCCAAAGAACCCCGAGCCCACCCGGGAAGAGGTACGTCTCGTACGCTGCCTCGCATGCTTGAAATAAGCCCTTGAATGTCTCCGTATTGAGCAGCTTCTGAGCTGGAGCTGTGTGGCCTTTCCTTTGCAATGATCGGTATAAAAGTCAGCAGATGTATCTAAGGTAGACTGGGATTGGCAGTCAAGCGAACGTTGGACACCTGCTGCGGGCATGCCTCCTGATCTGCGCATGCCCGTCTGCAGATTTTGGGGACGCAGGAGAAGTTCCTGGCCGCCATGACGGCTCTCTTCGAGAAGTACAAGGAGGAAGCCGGGTACCCCGACCTGACCCTTGAGATCCGATGATAAGCTTGGTCCGATGTACAGCCCACCCATCTTCTCGTCCGCATTTTTCCACAGCGTTTCTCCAGCTGGAGGAACCACGGTAGATGAACGTTCCTGAACTTCAATACTGCCTGCGCATGCATAGAGAGTGTACTACACAGTAGGAGGACATTCCTCCTTACAGACAAACACAGGTTGTTGATACAACATACAATATACTGTAAGGTCGTTGAGAGTTGTCCCTGAAAGAACTCGATCCTGTTAAGCCAGAAGCCTCGAACGTCAAACGTTGCTTATCGAGAATCAGTTCTGTAGCCGAAAGTATATACCAACCGTCTATAGATGAACCTACATTATCCCGACAATTGTCGAATCGACAGGGGTTGACAGTCAAGCTTGCAGCCAAGAAGCTGCAATCAATCCGTGCCCAAGGAGAAAAGTTACAAGGGCTTTCTCCAAGAGAGCATGGTCTTCGCATCGAGTGCAAATGAAAATGTGTAACTGTGGCTCGGAATATTCCGACCTAATCGCATCTGGTGTTTGCAATCGCATCCGGTATGGTCAGGCATCATCTGTACGTGTAGCCATGGCCGGCATGTGAATCCGTGGCATACCAGACTGCATGATTGCAGCCAATTTGCGCAGCTAGAGCGTAATTCGTTGCGCTCAGTGGAACCAAAGCTTCAAGTTCAGGCCGGATTGAAGCCCGAGCAGAGCGAAGACGTTGTTTCTGGCAGTGACTTGTCACTTGGTCGCTCAATTTAAGTGGACCAGGACGTTGACAGATACTCGGTTACCCCGCATGTATAGCTAAATTCCGCCTGACGCTGACGAAGTGGACCGCGCATGCTTTCACCTCAGTGCGCATGCACATCGGCTTTGTCTGTAACCTTATCTTGTAAAGCTCAAGCCTATTGTTTCTTCTATACAGGACGTTGATGCTTACAAGGAGTCAAGGTGCACCAAAGTCTGCGCGGCGCAAGTGACTGCATCATTGTCACACTTCTAGTGCGCAGACAGAGCTATCGAGCAGTGGCAAAAGTTTGCCAGTGCAGGCAACTCTGCGCTGCTTAGGGGCATTGAAAAGTGCGAAAGAAGCCCCTGCAGCACGGCATTGTGTAGCGACCGTTGTAATCAAGCGTGCACGTGGTGGCTGGCGGCTGGCGCGCATTCCCGGAGTCAGCTGATTGCAAACCTTGGCACGGCTTTTTGGGCTTTCTCGACACGCGCGCATTGGGAGCTACAAAGGCGCAGCAGCAGCGGTGAGCCTGCGCACGTACATTCATCTTCACGAAGCATTAAGCAGGACCTGTCTGTATCACCTGGAGGAGCTTGCTGCGTATCCAGATTGTGCACTATTAACGGCTTTGATTGGAAATCTAAGTGAGTTTTGGTACGTGGGCACTTCGTATCTTTCATTGATGCAATCAGCAGAGTGTGTATGTACTCAGCGAGTGCATGCGTCTTGGATAAACCCAGTCGTCATCTTTGCCTGCTTCCTGGTCCGAATATAAAACTGAAACTAGTCGCCTTTCCTCCCCGGCAATGCTTCTGCTGTTGGCAGAGTGCATCAAACTCCATGCTGGTCAACCCGGTAATATGATACGCATTGGTTCTGATTTGGAAGCCATTTGGAAGTCAGCATCTTCGATTTTAGAGGAGCGTGTGTTACAATTGTGGCGGCTAATCAGAGGGTTGTCGTCTTTAGTATCTCTTTGAAACAGCCCATCGAAGTGTCTCAGAGTTTCTTTTCGCGCTTTCATTAAGAGCCCTCCAGGTACCTTGTGTTGCTGAAGCTTCAAACTCCTTTCTTGAAAGTCAACTAAACTGAGCCGAAGCCTCTCAAAGGAGAACATCGACTGTTAGGAGCCAGCATTCTGCCTTGCACACCTGCCGCTTTGTGGTAGGTTCAAAGATATCTGCATCAGATGTCCTCAGGCGAAGGTCGACCATACGCGTTAAACAAAAGGAGCCGCTCGCGAGCAACGGCTCCATCACGGTCAAAATTGTAAAAAGCGCCAATTCTAACGCAAACATTTCTATGTTGGATCAGGCACCATATATCGTGGATCTTCTAGTCCTCTTCGAGGGCTTCAATTGTGTCGTCAGGGACACTTAAGAAGTGGTCATAGAAAAGAAAGATAGACAATTTGCGCACCCTTTCAATAGTCCTCATGAAATTCCTGTGGATGCTGCTTCTGAAGCCTCCCTTCTAGTTGCTGACAGCTGTAACCATGGCGAGGAAGTCCAAAGCGAGGGGAGGTCCGCATGTGACGGTCAGCTGGAGGCGTCCCGGCTCCAACAAGTGGCAGAAATTTGAGGATCGTGTGGGGCGCGCCATCCTTGCGGCCAGCATGTCGGGACAGGCGACTTTCCAGCTGGACGAGTACGTGCGAAGGTCGCCGCGACTCATATCAAAGCAGAGGGACGTCACAGCGGACCGCGTGCGCGCCTCCCGCAGGTACATCTGGCAATCTTAAATTCTGCCCCAAAAGCTGCCAGATGAGGGCCGACGACGCGGCTTTTACGGCAGTGATTTTAAAAAGATGAGATCCAGAACATATTTCTCTGAAAATTGTTTTCCATTTGGCCTCTTAGAGTCTGGATCAGAAGAAGCAGCGGAAGGGATGAGGTACAGAAACGGCATCGTGTTGACCACATAGAAAAGCAAAGCAGGAGTACTGGCCTTTACGTTTTTAAGCCTCTCTTCCAAGTTTGCGTGTGTAGGAAACGATCGTACTTACAGCACTTGAAAACTTGGTTTGCGTTTTCAAGAAGAGCCAAAGGCGTCTGATAGGTTGAGCCTCCAAGCTTCTGAAGTTTCATCGATTTCTGTAAAGCGCATTTGCAGCCAGGGACCCCTTAGTATTACATCCAAGCGCATTGCGCATGATGCCAGCAAGTCATCTAAAAGCGTCTCTTTCTTTGGACAGGTCCAGAAAGAAGGCTAAACACGAGAACCTTGTGCTGACGCTCAGGACATCCCAGGACGGGTCCGATCCGGCGTCGAACGTCTCGGGACGCGCCGTCCGCTGGGGCTTCTCTTCGACGTGCACCTTCGACCGGCTGCCCAACACTGCGCGCGCGCTCGCGGAGATGATCGCGAAGTGCGAGGCGGCGAAGAAGCGACAGGTAATGATACGCATACACATCGATGCGGAGCCAGCATTCCAGCTGGTTGATGGAGAACCAAGCGATACACAGGTGTCCGTTTCGAGTTTCGTGAAGTCTGTTACTTGAATTCACAGCGAGTGCTCGGACGGCTTTCAAGTGTTGCGTCCACTTGTCTAAGGCGCGTCGAAAGCCGTATTGGTAGAGAACGCAATTGCACACATGATTAGAAACCGCTTCCTTTGCATATTATGCACAGTCACCATTTGGCCAAAGTGCTCACAACTGCGTTTGGAAAGCCTGTACTCGCGCTTTTCTGCGTAGCCAAAGGTGATGGTCAATATTCGAGATGCGCTCGACATAAGATGCATCAGGAAACACCTAAATCTGCTGTTAATCGGATACCTTCTTCGTAAAACTTTGACTCGTCCAGCGTTTGATTCTTCTCTGTTCCACCGTCTTTTCTTCCAGATCTCAGGCCCAGAGTAGTCAGATCAACCCGTTAAAGCTATCAATGTCCTTTCTCATTAGAAGCGATTGGAAGTGCTCGGTGCCGTTCCTGCAGGTTCTTTCGGAGCTGCTGAACAATGCTACGTCTGAGGATCGCATCAGCAGATTCCTCTCTGAAACAGATTTCAGCCAGCCCGTCCAGTGGTACTCACAGTCGGAACCTGTAACGAGAACGGGCACCCTCCGGGTGTCGCAAGTCGCTGTAAACGAGCGTGCGCGGCCGGGCGGCGGGCTGTACGAGCGGTTCCTGGACGCAATGGCGGGGCACGTGTCGAAACTGGGAGGCAGGTCCCCCTGGATCCCTCCTGGATTTGACAAGAAAGAACAATGTTCCACCGTGATTGAGCAAGGAGGTGAAGTAAGGATCACAACCAAGAGTCACGTGCTGACCATAGAGTCAATTTCTCTTGCAAGTTCAGCGGGGTGAATATAAGCTGACTGTGCATGAATAAGGCGTTCACAGGACGTGCATAACAGCGGGTTCAAGTGCGAGCAGTAGACTTTTGAAACTCGAGCGGAGACCACTGACAAACTGTTGGCAGCGAGGTAAACATTTACTAACGCCTCCGCGGTGGAAGGAACTACGGGAACAGTGTCTCGGCAAAGGGTCCCCTCAAAAGTCAATGATGTCCGCTCCTGCCGATGCTTCTGCTCATGTTTGCTCGCTGACGTCGCGTGACGATTCATTTCTCCAGGTGCGCTCCGATCGCTGATGGGCTGCGACCGCCACATCATGGCGCCGCTCACCTTCGCCTTCCACGGCACTCCTCCCCCCAACGTTCCGTCCAATCTTGGAACACGGAATGCTGCCGGAAAAGAGGGTAGCCGCCGGAGACTGGTTTGGGACGTTGCCATCCATTAGCTTCGGCTACAGCCAAAAATGGTCGGTGATCGCGGGTGGCCCCCGGGGGCCTCCATTTCGGCTGATCCTGTTTCTGCTCCTTGCGGTTCCCCCAGTGGTCGACAAACGGGGTTTCCCATGGGCCATAGCTCTCTCCGATCCGCGCTACGAGCTTCCGCTCTGCACGGTAGAGCTAGAGTGCGTCGAGAAGACGGGATAAACTCAACGCTTGCCGGCATACAGGAGGAGAGTCTTCTAGGACACCTGAATTACTGGTGCCGTGCATGTAATCATGGAACCATGGGGCTAATTTACCCAGCATGGGGACGTTGCCCGTCCACGTACATTGATTAGTCAAAATTAAAGATTGTTCTTGAACTTCAGTCTTCAACTGAAGGGCCGCAAAAATAACTTAGAAACTCACTTGGGGCTGAAGACGGATTGGAAATTCATGCAGAGAGTAACTTTTATATAACCGCAAAGATGATAATTATGTGCAAATACAATGCTGACGTACGCGTGCGTATTGCTGTACGGTGCATGCAGCCCGAGAGTCTAAGGGGCTGCAGAATCTTCCGTGACAACTGGTTCACGTACGCGCTTTGACAAACCTTGAAGCTGTGCGATCTGGTCGTTGAGCGTTCCTTTATCGGAGTACACAGGAATCGATCTTTCAAGCACAAGCGTAAGTAGCCAAAAAGATAGCATGCATGCGTGTTATGGAGGGGGTGCGGGCGACACATATAGTCAATATATATGCATAAACCTGCGCGCATGACAGTAAGCATGTATCCTACCAACCACCTTATCTCCCTAAACCCGTCAATGGGCCAGATTGCCGAAGCATGTAGAGTCGCATACAAGGCCGAGCGTTTACCAACTTGAATACTTGTGTAGAAGCATCCCGAACAGCTTCCTTGTATAGTGGATCCATCAAGTATCACAACTCCGTTAACCCAGCTAGCGCTGCATATCGCTCTCTCGTTTCTGTCAGAATCTGCTTTCTCGACATTCGTAGCCGGAGCGCCATGCGCAACCTCCCAATATCCCGACCCTTGCCATCGAAAGTCCCCGCGTCTAGTTCTTCCGAGAGCCGTCGGTCCTCGTCGAGCGTCGTCGCATGCTGCCCTAGCAGGGCTTCGCACCGCTGCACGACCTGCCGGGCGGCCGCTGCACGCGTCGGCCGACTGATGGCGGCACCACTCAGGCTCGCGCTGCGGTGCCACTCCGCCTCCAAGGACGACAGCTCTGCGGCATCGCGCGCATGGAGGACGTACAGTGACTCGAGCAGCCGGGGGGCGGCGCCGTCTGCACATGAGCGCCAAAAGCTCGGATTCGGTAGTATAGGGGCTTTGCTGGCCCTCAAAAGACAAGGTTTGGAGAGAAGGCGAGGGTTCAGTAACGAATTTAAGCTGTACTAAGGGCAGCAAGCCACAACTACAGGACCCAGACAAGGCCTCGTCCTTTCGGGGCCTTCTGCGCAGTGCAGTGTGTATCTCAAGATCGGGCCGAGAACTCTTCAGGGCGACCGCGGGAGACATCCGACTCTCGGTCCTGACTTGATGTCACTCCACAAGCGGTTCCTCGTTCACAGGTCCTTCGCCGGATATATTCGCTCATAAGTTGGAGATCGCAAGAGCGGTGCGCACCTGCGTCTGCAGCGAGGTTGCGGCTACCGCCCATCAACGTGGTCAGGAGCTCCTCTTTCTGGCGGGCCAATCTGACCGGGGCGTCCACGTCGTCAAGCAGAGCCTGCAACATGCACCAGCCGGCTCGTAACGACAGCTCACGTGTGCTTTTGCAGGGCTGACCACTGACCAGTACGTACAAGATCAAAAGGATGCGCTAAATCGTACTGAACGAGAGGTTGATGGAGCAGTAGATAATAGAGTATTCGTCTTGAGAAGTACAGAAGGCGATGGTCCCCCCTTACTTTCACATGGGAGCGCAGAAGTTTGGAAGTTTCAAAGATAGCCTGCAGCAAGATGAGGGTGAGGGTTACCTTGAGGCAGTCATAGAGCGGCACTTTGTCCGCTGGGTTTATGTTGGGCACAAAGCCATAGGAGACGAGAAACTCTAAGTTGGTGTGGGGGCCATAAGAGATGGTGGCCTCCTGGCCGGCCGAGAGGGGGGTAGATGCGAAGACCTGGAAGCAGGCTTCAGCCGGGGGGGCACCCTGCACCAAGGGTATAGGGGCTGTCACACAGACTGTAGGCAGAGAAAGGCCCAGTGAGTGGCTGAGGCAAAGTACTTGACGAGAATTTTCCAGCACTGGGGTAATTGGCATTCAGGTCAGGCATCTCGAATCACAGCAACAGGACGTATATCAATAGTTTAAGCAATGGGAGAGCAAAGCGGCGTTTCAGCATTCGACTCCGTTTTCAATTGTGCATTCGAGGACAGGTGAAAGTATACAGATTGCCGCCCTGCGACTGTTTCATTTTGGCCAAACTTAGGCAGCCCTCTCGAAGGGTGGAAGAAGTCACTCGATCAAGCCTCTACACAACGCTGACAGAAACGGAGCCGCACCTGAGGGCTGTGGATCCTCCACTGGGCAAAGCCCAGGTCCGGCGAAGAGTGCGACCGCGGCCGAACAGGTGACGGGTTGGCCTGGAACGGCCTTGCAGTATGTCGAGCTCGCAGTGGGAGCGCTAAGGTGGGCGGGGCATGGTTGAGCATGTCCGCCACAGGGACCAAGCACTGCACCGGAACCCCCTCTAGAGTCGTGGAGAAGCTGCGAGTCAAGACGGTGCGGAGGGCCCACAGGGCGGTGGCGTGGCTGAAAGGGGGTCGCCACAACGGGGGGGTGGGAGGAGGTTCCGATGAGATAGCTGATACGAGGGATAGCGAGACGCTTGGACCATCGGAAGGGGGTTCGTAATTGTCAACCTCGACATCCGTTTGCAGGCTCTCTCTCTTTGGCGACTCGCTTGGTGAGGAGGTTGTGAGAGGCGAAGCTCGAGAGAAGGAGGGTGGAAGGGTAGAAGGTCCCTTCACTGGGGTTGGAATCGAGGGGTTGGTGTCCAGACGGGAGTTGGCGGCCAATTGGATGCGTGTGGCCTGGTCTTGCCACTCATCATCAGCCGCAAGAGCTGCCCCCACTGCTGCCTTGCTCTGGAGCTCTGACAGCTCTTGAGGGGTCCAATCAGCAACCGACTGCTGGGAAGGAGGTAGCGGGATCAGATTAGGCTTGAAAACATGTATGTCACAGACCGCCAGCAAAGTCAAGTAGCTGTTGAGCAATGAATGAGCCCCAACTGTGGATCATGAAGAAGATGCAATTATGTCAGTTTGTTCCTCAGAACTCTCATGTCCGCACAACTGCGCAACACCTTGTGTGCACCTCGTAATGGGCTGGCAGCAGGCGCGCATAGTGCTGCCACACGGAGTCTGGCCGCTGCAGCTCCGCCAGCAGCTTGACGGCCAGCCGACAGACCGCCTCATGCAAACCACCCCTCGATCCCACCGCTTCTCCGCCCCCTTGTTGCCCCCCTTTTGTCTCCTTTGGTACCATCAGTACTGCAGCTATGGGTACCGACAAGAGCAGTTGGCCCGCTTGCACGGCGGCCCCGCTGGGCACCGCCAGGCCTCGCACACCCGTCGGGCTGACAGTTAGCTGCAATAAGGGGGGCTGTGGCCCAACCTGCGCTGCCTGCCAGAGCTCAGACAGAAGTGTGGCTTCCTGGTCTGCCTGGGTGACTTTTGAGATGGGTTTTAGGGTGGCCGCCAGCTGGGCCTGGACCAATGTGGCAGCAGAAACAGGAGCAGAGAGGACATTGGCAGGGGGGACGAGTGACTGTCCATTTTGAAAGCAAGCTGGGAGCTGGAAGAGGCTGCTTGAGCGTGCAGTGGCGCCAAAGCACGGCAATGCCACAAAGTGGATAATCCTGCACTGGCTGCCTCCGTTGACTGCCCGCGAATGCAGGCACCGTGCAAACAATGCTGATGGGTGTGCAAGGTTGCAGCACTCCATGCCGCTGTGATCAATCCTTCCCAGCTGCGCTCTGCGTCAAATCTGCCGATGAGGCAGCTGAAACTTGAAGCAAGCTATTCTACCTGGCCAGCAGAGGGCTAGGTCCTACATGCAGCAGCTCCATGCGATCATCTCCTCTAACCCCACTGGTGTAAACAAGATTCTTCCAGTACCCGTTGCTACCGTTTTTATGCGCTTCACAAATTTTGACACAAATATTGCAAGCACGGGTTGCCGCGCGATGAGCCGTTTCTGAGCGTTCGTAAAGCATTACCGTATGACGGTGCCAATTCACACAGCCGGTGTTCGTCGCTGCGCCCAGGCTCGGGCTGCATGTTCTCTGATTCTAATCTCTCCCCCTTCTTCTCCGAAACGGCGAAAGGTTCTGTCACCTGTGTCAGCCAGACATCTGAAACAGTGAAGTTTCCACCATCTGGAGCGCTGAGGAGCAGTCCTGTGTTTTGCGGGCAGCCATGTCCTCTTCCCGCGAGGTGCTCTCGCTGTACCGGGACTTCCTGCGTGTGGGCCGCAAGTTCAGCAACTACAACGTTCGCGAGTTTGTCAAGCGGCGTGCGAGGGAGGGTTTCCGCGAGGGCCAGGCGTTGACAGACCCTGCCACCATCTCGGCAGCAGTGAAGCAGGCCAAGGACCAACTCGCGGTGGCCAAGCGGCAGTCTGTCGTGTACTCCCTGTTTGCGCAGCCTGTAAAGTCTATCATGGAGTTGAAGACGGCGGTGGGGGATCAAAGCGTCACTGTCGCCAAGGCTTAATAGCATATCATTGATGCAATGCTGGCGATGCTGGGCGAGCAAGGGGATGGGAAGCAGACTGGAGGCGATTGCGAGGGGCGCCTGCAGGCAGCAAGCCTCAAGATTTGCGCTTAGCTTTGCGACGGAAGATCAGATTGCGTTCTTAGGTAGTGGTACAAGCACTTCGTTTTTTTGTGGGAGGCAGCCTTGCAAAGGTGTCAGCCTTGGCTCACTGGTTGATCCACCACCTTTCTCGGCAAGCAAGCGTCCAAAACCTTTTCATAATCATCCCACATCCGTGCACCACCTCTTCCATCAGAAAAGCAGCATTGGACACACCATGACGTTCCACACAGCAGCCCTTCCAGCAGCAACCCTCTCGGGGCAGGGCACTCGGTTAGATGTACAGCCTGATCTAGTTGCAGCAGAAGGTTTTCCAGAGGCAGCCGCATCAGATATCGGCGAAGCGGAGGTTGACATGCATGGTGTGAAGACCAGAGGGGAGGGATCAGAAGGCGCGTCAACATCCAGGGGTTTTGGGGACAAGGGGGGCAAGTCGAATCCTGGTGCCCTGCGTTTCCGGGAGCGGATCATGATTGATCGGGTCTTTGAAGAGCTGGGCCTGGACAAGCTTTCCGCACAGGTGAATACACTCTCAGCCTCACAGACAAGAGGTTTCTCGAGTATGAAAGACTAAAGTTGGTCTTGGCAATGGGCGCTTTCACGGTTGCCGAAATGCTGTGGCCATATGGAACTTCAAGTAAGAGTACTTTGGTTCTTATTAGTACTGGTGGTGTGCACCGCAGGTGGGTGGCATCGGGAAGAAGGTGCGCCATCATGTGAACCCCCTGCGGGCGGAGTTCCAGGTGAGACACTTCGTCGAAGCAGTTGACACTAAGCTATCTTTGCCTGAATGCTGCTGGAAGCGGAGACGGTTTGTAAGTTAAGGTCGGCGAAGTGATCTATATTATAATCTGGTGAACCCAAATCTTTTTGTTGAGCATGAAGTCCAACCAACTTTCTGTTGTGGTCAAGTGGGTCCCGAACATTACAGAGGGCACTGTGGGATTGCGTTTTCTGGATCTGACGGCTTCTCTTGCATAGCGTAGGTGAAGACCCCGCCGCCAGTATGGGCTGACGTCTTTGCGGACCCGTCGCTGCCGTTGCATGTGGACATTGGGTGTGCGCAGGGGCGCTTCGTGCTGACGCTGGCCAAGAGGAGCGAGGGGGCAACCAATTTCCTGGGGCTTGAGATCCGCTCGCAGGTAGAGCCCCTCATTCATCGCATACTCCTTAAGTTCAAAGTAGCTACTAATGGCTTGGAAACGGAGTATGTCCAAAAGATTCATGTCGCTGGGACTGCCTTTTTTCATGGCTTTGTTCTTATTGACCTGCAAATATCCAAGTAAGTTGTCAGCTTCAGAAGTTTCGTTCTTAGATTGTGCTAGTCCTGATAACCCTCTGCCACTGTGCTGTTACTAAAGATGCTGGCGGCAGCGACATAAAGGTGTTCACGATTCTCTCACTCGTTACACTGTGCTCCATCTCCAAATCTCTTGCTGTTTATTTGTGCAGCTGGTGGAGCGGGCAAATAGGTGGAGTGCCGGGTTGGAACTGCGGAATGCGTAAGTGCCCTGTCTCCTGTGAGACTTAAAGAGTTTCTCTCGTTTTTCCCCAAGTTCAAAGGGTCAATTCAGCACTGTGACCCATGGGAAGTATCATTGCGAGTTGAGAATAGCAGCTTGGCACGACCTTCTCTGTTTGCTGTCGCTATCTTTGGAGATCGGCTTGCACTCGGGGCTCGTTTCCTACGTGCTTTGATCACACAGGTTTTGAGAGACAAGCCCCTTAGGTCAGCAACCACTTTCACCACCTTGGTCCTTCTAGCGAAGTGAAAGGGGCTCTCGCAGAAGACTGTGTACATGATAATGTCTGGAGTCCTGTTCAGTTGGCTCGACTGGTCATGCCGATCTCGTGCACAGTTGTTTTTGGGTATCTTCTCACCGTCTGCTGACCCCCATTTCCTCCACTTGGGGTGCAGCCACTTTCTGGTGGCCAACGCGACCATCTCCTTGGACTCCATCCTGGCCACGTACCCGGGTCCGCTCACCTATGTCACCATTCTGGTAAGGGCCACCTACATTCCCTCCCCCTCATGAGTTGTCCGTCTGAGGTTTCGGTTTTGTGCCGTCGCTTCTCTTCTTCCTCCTTTGCCGTCTCCTCCTATCTCTGTCTTGCACAACTTGATCTCCTCGAGGATTGTTTTGTACTTTACGTGTGCTTTGCTCTGGCCGCTGCGTCTGCTCGCGGCTTAACGTGCCCAACACTTACGCTTCCTGCCCCGTATTGCAGTGTCCGGACCCTCACTTCAAGAACCGCGTTAAGAACCGGCGGGTCGTGCAGCCGTCGCTGGTGGAGGCCATCTGCCAGAAGCTCGTGCCGGGTGGAAAGGTGAGGGGAAGCAAGCCCATATCCCGGATATCGTTGTTGTCGACTGTAAGAAGGAATTGCTCCAGTGGTTCCACCCGTGGGAGCAAAGGACACATGCATGCACAGAGGCAGATGCTAGGGTATAGATTCCGGAGTTCCCGATGGTGCTTCTGATAAGGTACTTGTATGGAAACAACGGCGCCTGCACGTGCGCGTTTCCTCTTCAACCTGCTACAGCACAGCTGGCGCTCAGTGGGATTCGGCGTCCGTGGTTCGCAGGTGTTCGTGCAGTCGGACGTCCTGGAGGTGGCCGACGATATGAAGTATCAGATCCAGGCAGCGGGGGGCACGTGGCTTAGCTTAGCGGGCGAGCACGCACGCACCGACCAGTGCACGCCACAGGGGTGGCTCCTCGAGAGCCCGCTCGGAGTGCCCACGGAGCGGGAGACGTTCGCGGTGGCTAATGGGGAGTCGATCTACAGGGCGCTTTTTGTTCGTAACGAAAGGGAGTTCCGATGCATAGGGGATCTCGAAAAAGATGCGGAGGGTCAGAAGTCACAGGTGGTGTAATGCATAATACAAGCGGGCGTTCTGCCAAGGTGCTATGCGAATCAGTCGTCTTACCCAGTATGGAGTGCAGGCCCGATGGCCTCAACCCTGAAAGGTGACGACTGTCTGATCAGGTGGGCAAATACGTCAAGTGTCAGGGGGGTCTAACAGCTTATATCTGCGGAATTAGCTTTATCACAGCACAAAGACTTGATTGGTGGTCGTTCCGCAGGAACTAAGCAGTTTAGCGCGCACATTATGCGTATGTTAACCACCGTAAGCTGGATTGTACCAAGCTTGGTCACATGCATGACCTGCATCTGGCATAGGACCCAGTAGTTCGATATTCAACAAGTATAGTCAGTGTTTATGCGCCTAGTGCGGTGAACAATGGTGCAGTGAACAAGACATGTGATCTGAAATGCATTGTGAGAGTAATAACATGCGAATGTTGCATGGTTACCATGAAACGCATGTCTAAAAGTATAGTGTCAAGCATGGATGTCCTCAAGCTTGCCGTGCACACATCCATTTAGCCACACAATTCAAACGTGCATGTATGTCGACTTTTAGAATCACACTGAGAAACAACGATGCATCCTAATTCCAGCATGCAGGTGTCGTCGAGAATGATATTTGACGTGCTGAGATACTACGTTCTCGCATGTCAGGAAAGCTATCTTGCTTGAAAACATATAGTGAGGGTGTCTGTTTGTCCCCCCGTCACTAGCCGTTGGCCTTATAGGCTTCTGATGGTAACATGTGAACGTTGATCTTTTGTCAGTGTGAAACGTCAAGAAGGTTATATGCGCAATCAAATTGTCCTGCCTAAGTTTCCCCGTGTATTGCCAGTACACGCGATTTGGCGTTATGCACGGATGTATGTAAGTTCACAGTTGAATGAATGAAAGAATGCTTTCGACTTTTCCCTCATTCGATTAAATTAAGAGAATCGATGATTTCAAAACAGGTCAATTGCTAACCTCGGATAAGGCAAGCGCGCCCAATCACGCTGGCCAATCTTCGCTACACAATTGTCCAAGTTTCACTGACAACCCCGTATGTTTATTGCTAATGCTAAACTTGCTAACGCGTGTCCATCACAATAGCACCTTTTCCCCCTCGACAAAAGTAGTCAGCAGACAAGAAACTCACTATGGCATTAGGACCTCTGCAATAACAGCTCCAAAATGCAAGATTTGAACCTGGAAAAAAACCACGTCTTCTTCCGCTTTCGACCCTTGCTTTCCTATCATTCCTGCGCGCAGACTAATAACCGAGTCCGTCCAGAAAAACTCATTTTACTGTACACAGTAGCAAGTGGTATCGCGTGCTCAAATCTATCGCGTGCTCAAACCTATCCGATTCTGTACATCTTGTGCGGCACCCGGCCAAAATTCGCGTGCGAGCCTAGACTTACAACTATACGAACGCCCTAAGCTGGGCTCCTGGCCGGCAACTTGTCAGCAGACTTTATGCCCAGCTTCCCGTGTTCGGGCTGCTTCCGCGCGCAGATCTGATACCATGTCCTCCGTCACCTGCGCAACAAAAGGCAAATGCTGAGCATCTTCGCACAAAACCGCTCGATCGGGCTGCGCGAAGGACGCCCAACAACAGGTAGTCCACGGAGGAGGGCAAAATGATTTATAACACATCTCCCAATAACAAAACTGGCCATCAGACAGGGGCAATTGTCTTCTACAGGGTGAGAGCATGTGTGGACACTGCTAGGATGGCTATATCGTCCGCTCAGATTCAATGAACCACTCCAAGTTGAGGCGGAACAAGTGAGGCGTCTGATTAGTCCGCATCAAGGAACAAGGGCGGCCGCTGACCTTCTTAGTGAATTGCCGGATGAAGAAGGCCTTGTTAGGCACGATGCCGGGGATGCTCGGCTTGAGTGTCTGGTAAAGAGCCACCTGCACAGAGCACCAGTCAATCAAAAAGGGCCCTCGAGATAGTGCTTTATCTTTCGCCTCGGTCCCCTTGAGACAGTGGCTTCTGACTCGATACATGAGCACAGCCGCAATCAGGAAGACGAGCTCCGAGCTTACTGACGGCTTTCTCAGTTCGGCCACTCAAGATCGCGGCTAGGAGCGGCTGGAAAACTGTCTGCGGCTCCGTATCGTGCTTAAGCCGCTGGGAAAATTCATGCCAACGGATTCAGTCAAGGATATTCAAGTAACGAAGATCAAAAATGTCGCTCTCAATGTCAAGCGGACCGGAAACGGCTGATTAAACAGCGTGGTGAATTCAAGCAGACCGATTCGATCCTACGAAAGGAGCCGCTGGCCAACAAACGTGCACCTCGTACAATTTCCAGTGGTGACACGGCTGCCCCACCTGCGATAGCGGTACACCAGTGGGCGTCTCTACTTGGTGGATCTGCCAGGAGCCCTCGAAAACCTTCATGAAGCCAGGCCGGCCCATCCGAAAGTCGATGAGGCCCTCCGAGCGATCCTCTTCGAGGTACAGGTGCGTGGACACCGACCCACGCCATACCTTCATGTCAAACCACTGCTCGCGCACCATCTCCAGACTGCGCCGACCTGCACGCAAGGTTTCAATGTCACGATCCCTTCTCCTTCCAAGATGCTTTGTGCTGACCGTGATTCAATTGGCCGGGAGCTTGCAGAAGAAGAGGATCTAGCAGCATGGTAAACCTTACTTATTTGATCAAAGATCGTTTCCTTGAAGTAGAGTATCTTCAAACATCAGCCCATATAAAGCTCCTCTCCAGATGTCCTTTGAGACAACCTCCTCACCTTGAACTACAAGCACATTCAAGGTAGAGAGGGAAGATTCGTTGTAGTGTAGGACTGTTTGTATCCGTAATGGTTTTGAAGGCTTTCAAAATATCATCAGCTGCAGGCTTTAGGTTTCGTTACACGTCTATTTGCCAAAAAACAGGACCCAGCTGACAGAATGCGCGCCCGAAATTGAGCACATACACAATGCAATGGCTCTCTGGAGCTCAACGCTTAAAGCGCCACACAAATACCCAGACATTCTTCCATATTGACCGGCTACAATCAGAAAGGGCATCTAGGACATGAGGCAGCAAGGAGACGCCTGCTTTCCTTAGCGCTTTGAAAATGTGCCAATTCTAATGCACAGCCCTCGCTTCTTTCAGCAGTACAGCTCACTAGGCTGGAGCAGCTTCAAATGTTTACACTCTGCCGCATGCTTTCCGCTGCTTTAACGTCCTCTCTTCCAACTCAAGTGCCCTTCCGCACATGCATTTGGGTGGAGCGCCTCCTGCATTGGACATAAATATCAGGAGCAAGGCGCCCCTGATTTTAGAGGCACCCAACAAGAACTTGGGGCTTGGACGGTACTTGAAATAAGACCTTGACCACTCTAGAAAGGAAAGAGTTGGAAAGCAAACATGGTCAGATTCTCGGGGCTGACCTGCGCCGTCGTCCTCATGCACTTCGAGGTCGTCGTACCCTTTGAACGTCCGGCTGAACACGCGCGTAAACTCGTCAGGGTCGGTCACCACAGTCCACAAGTGGTCAAAGTCCATGGGCACCTCAAACCTCGCGCGCATGTTTACAGCGCCACGTGGGTCATCGCTAAAATCGATCTGAGGGGCGGGCAGCTCGTCTACTAGCTCTGAATCAACAATCTCAAACTGCTCCGTGGCCATATGGGGGGCGTCAGCGTACTCCTCCATTGGTGGGCTTCTCCGGCTTAGTAAGGACTGTCTAATCCTGTCTGAGCTAGTAATGTCCCAGTAGCTGGGAACAAGAGCTGACACACGCTGGTTTATGCTGCTTGCCTAATCTGGTTGGGGTCCACGAGAAGCAGAAGCCTATCAGTGCTAGCCCAGCTCAATTTTGCAAAAACAGATGACTTTGCAAGAAGCACTTCAATCGAGAACCTTTCTCCCAAAAGGGCACTGCCAGCAACAATACCAACTTCCAGATCAACCACTCCTTCAAGTGCCCTTCTTCGAACGTGCTTGCGGGGGCCAGTAGGGCGCCACTAGTAATCACAAGCAGCTGCCACACACTCTATTCTTTGTACAACCAAATGCTAAAACGCTTGAAAATGTTTCAGTGAACTGGTTTTGCAGACAGCTGGTGACAGTGATGTGCTGAGATGGGCGCGATGCTGAAATGAGCGGCAGCCTAAGCGGAAGCTTGAGTCTCAGCTTCTCCAGTATTGGTTTGGACCCCTTCCTTCGTCTTCTCCAGCAGGCGGGCACCTTCCGCGTTGCCTGGGCTGACGAAGGCGGAGCACAGCCACACTGAAAAGTAGGAGTGGAGCCACTGCTGCGCAGAAGCGCACTGGACAGGTGTCAGGCTTGCATCACGAAAGCGTCGGCACACGGTCTGTCCAGGTGGCAACATTATGCATGCGCAGGCGGGCCACTTCGACTTCGAAGACCTGCACATATATTGTCGAACTAATTAACCGCAATGCATTCGATGCGGAATTCGATGTAATGGTTGTTGATTTCGAACTCCGACAGGGGCCGCGGCTGGCCACGCCGCCGTCATCTGCATCATGCATGCAAGCGGAACAGCTCATGGGGGACTCGGGATCCGAATTGGGGACACAGAATTCGATCATAGGGTATGCGTATACCTATGCTTCTGTGGCGGCACTGCGCACCGTGGCAGACCTTCGTTGTTGACGTGCCGGTGGCAAGCTGCTTATAGGAGCATCTGGTTCTTTGAGATCCTGTATGGAGACATTATGTTTAGTGGAGGAGACTGCCGCTTCATGACCATGGACCCAAGAAACAGGCTGAGTTGTGCTTCCGAGAAGCAGCATTGCTCCTCTCTGGCGTGCAGCCAGCTTGTGATGTGTATCAAATCTGGGTGCAAGGCGGTCTGCTGCCACTGCCGCTATTTGCTGTTTCAACCATGGGCGCAGCTTGCCTTGCAGTGACTGGGTGGTGGATCATGCTCGGTGCGTGACATGAGCTGGCAGCGCCTTGCTTTTCGTTCTTCCGCCGCACTGCTGGTGACGCCCTCGGCACTCCTCGCCAGCTGCTACCTGCCAATGGGCACCTTCGACTCAGATTGTATCCAAGTTCCCGTTGAACCATCAGCTCCAATTGGCCAAGAAGTAGCAAGCTCTGACAGCCCCGTCTCCAAAGAAGTACACACAGGGCCCCACCACTTGACACCCGTTGAGTGGAGGGGCGTGCCTAAATATTTGACGCATAAAGGTTCTGACGCAAACCGAGGTCCCTCCAGTACTTCAGCTGGGCCAGCTGTGCACAACAGTGGTGCGAGGAGTTGGCCCGCAGAGCATCATTCCAGTGGCGACGAGTCCTCAAGCTCTGCGATTGGGTGGCTGAAAAAGTGGCTAGGAGCAGCAAAGGAGGAGGGGCATCTAACAGCGCCTCTGCTGAACTCAGAGGAAGAACGCCCCGCCTCTGACCGTGGCAGACTGCAGAACGGTCCGTCTCTGATGACCGCTTCTCAGAGAAAAGCTGACAATTGTAGGAATGTAGCTGGGGAGGAAAACGGAGGAATAGTTGGGGATCCTGATGCAAAGTTGCGAGGCCTGCAAGCGCAGGCAACCAGCGATGTGGGCACCGGAAAGAGCAGCGATCTTGCTGGGTTTGAAGAGTCTGCGTTGGCGTCCGGCTTGAAGTTGAACATTTTGCTGTTGGTGATTGGCACACGCGGCGACGTGCAGCCAATGGCGGCCCTGGGGCGCGTGCTCCAGGAGAAGTATGGGCACCGCGTGCGAGTGGCCACGCACGCTCCGTTCAAAGACGCTGTGGAGGCGCAGGGATTGGAGTTCTTCCCCATGCCTGGCAATCCCAACTTTCTCATTGACAGTGAGTGGCCGGCATGGTTCAACAACCATTCTTGTGATGCGCAAAATTAAGTTCGTTAGGTTGTGAGTCACTAGGCAGCGTCTCATGTTTCAATGCAATCCTTCTGGTTGCAGCAGTAGTGAATTGGGGGCGATGGGCTGCCTAACGGGGTGAAGGTGACCTTTCGCAGCTAGCTTTGTTATAATTAAGCACATTCAAATCTTCGCTCCTTGTTGAACTCTTGTGGCCCATTTGGGCACATCAGTGGACCGAATGATTGCATCCCCGTCCTTCAAGCCAACTTGTAGTTCAAAGTCGGATCTTCATTTCCACTTTGACGGTGACACCAAAGTCGCATTTCGTCCTTCTTTTGGAAGTTGGGTACTAATCTTTGCGGTGTTCATTCATTGCAGAGATGGTCAGCAGCAGCACGTCTGCGCAGTGGTCCCTGCCCTCGTCCCCCTCCGCCATTCTAGCCGTGCGCCGCTGGTTCAAGGGGATCATCTTCTCGCACTGGCCCGCGTGCACCGCGCCCGTTCCTTCCCCCGGCCACCAGCCCATATCCGTCCAACCCGCACGGCAATCGGAGGCGCCTCACTGGTCGCTCAATGTGGCCGCCAATGACGCTTCCACGGGCTCTGAGTCGGGGGCCTCGTTGCCGTCAAGCTTTCGCAAAGTTGAAGCTGAGGGGCGTCCCAGCGATGCTGACGGAACCCCTTCTGAATTGGAAAGCCGAATGACGAGCGGTCAGTCGGCGGTGCCGCCACAACCGGCGTCTTCGGCAACCCTGCAGCCAGCCGGGTCATTTTCAGACCTGCGTGTTGCAGCCTTGAACGGGGGCAGTGAAGCGGAATCGCTTCCAGCCAGCTCGCGAGCGGATCTGAAGCCGTCAGTATCCGCAGAGTTCACTCCAGATCTGATTGTGGCGACTCCGACTACCCAGGTGGCGCTGTCGTGCGCGCAGGCGCTAGGTGTGCCGCTGCACGTGTTCTACCTGATGCCTTACACACGCACGCGCCATTTGCCGCACCCGCTCTCGGGGGGCACCCTCCCAGGACCGAACGGCAGTAAAGCCACCAGGTGAGGGGTAGGCGTTTGCTGTGCTTGTTGAATGAGAAAGCCGAATGGCACAGTCCAACCTCTGGACTGTTTTCGGATTGAGCGGAGGGGATCTGAAACTCCCAAAAAATGGGATGGCAGGGGAGCGACCTTGTATTTGAGCCCTTGCGGGAAGGAAGGGTTGGACGAAACGCAGGAGGATTGACGGGAGGCCGAAAACCCGTGCTAAAAGCTGTTACATTGACTTAGCTGCCCCTCTCTCTTGGAGGAGAACAACTGACGCGCCATTGTTGGGGCAGCCGTGGTTGGGCGAGTTGGTCGCTTGATCCGACATGGTGTAAAATGCTGTGCGGATTTGCTCGTGTCCAAGGACCCAACGCGGAAGGAGCTGCACTTTGTGCAGCTCAAAGCTATGCCTTTACGGGATCGATATGTCTGCCCCTCATTGCTGTCTTTCCACCGCGCTTTCCCAGGTTCTCGTGGTCGCTTATCGAGAGCGTCTCTGCCCTCGGCGTTTGGAATTACGTGAACCGCTTCCGCCGCCAGGTGCTGCGTCTGCAGCTGCTGCCGCGGGGCGCCCTCAGCGAGTTCTTCCTCCTCGAAGCCCTCGCCGTCCCCACCACTTACGCCTTCAGCCCCGACCTCGTGCCTCGCCCAAGGCAAGTGCCGTGCTGCTCGTTTTGCATCGTAGCTGTGGCACTGCCGTGGTTTGTCTCGTGGCATCCCGGTACAGCAAGTATCATGCATCTCTCACGCTGAAAAGTACCATAACGCTGGGTCCCATTCCCTTGAGCTTTGACGCTACTGGAATAAGCATGAAAAAAGTGAATGGAGAGAATGGTCCACACCGTGGATTTCCCAAAAGTTGCAGCTCGCGGTGGTGCTTGCACTCTGTCACGCCGACTGTGCCTGCAGCTAAGCTTGTATCTCGTCGAGCTGCTTGCGCTTTACCTACGCTCCCAGCGACTACAGAGGGGTAATTGACACTCCCAACTGTTGCCACACATGTGCCAACGCAATCTTCGTCTTGTTTGCAGGGATTGGGGCGACCACATCCGCGTCGTGAACTACGTGTATGACGACAGCCTGACGTCCCGCTACCAGCCGTCCCCTCTGCTGCAGCGCTTCCTGGACGCGGGTCCGCCTCCTGTGTACATCGGCTTTGGCAGCATGAAGCTCGACCACACGGATGACGTCATGGATACTCTTATCACGGCAGTCCGCGCCGCAGGTGGGGCCCGGCGCGAGCAAGAGTCGCTCCAAAGCTTCTGAGCTTGCGTCCTCTGTTTGTCCGATCTAGTTCGGTGTGCTGCGGCCCAACTCGAGAGCGCCGCAGCACTTGCTGGAGTGTAGGGTGCGGTACAAAGTAGCATCTGCGATGTCGAAGCGGCCTTGAAAATGCACAGTAACGGGGGTCTTGACGTTTCTCTTCACATTGAATCGACAAGAGAGACATAGTCAGAGTACACGCCACCCGCGTTATCTGCCTCGTGTGGCTCGTCCGCTGCTACGTTTGCCAGTTCGACTCAGCAGGAGCAGTCTTAACCTTTACGTGGTGTGTGTTATGTGCGGGGAATGATGAAAAGAAGTATGTCAAAACACCGTTACAAGGATTAGCGCAAAGACGAACCCTTTCTGGGTGCGCAGGCGTGCGCGCGGTGATTCACAAGCGCGGCTGGGCGGACGACGTGGACGCGCTGCAGAAGCGGTTGGCCGCCTTCGGGACGCACCGGCGGGGGCCGCGGAGGGGCATGGATGCGCGCAAGGACAGGTGCGCAGGACCGCTGCCGGGTCCGACTATTCAGTTGGCTGTCTGTGTGGGAAAAGGGTGAATCAATCACAGATGGCATCGTCGGTGTGACGTAACGGCTAACATAGGTCAAAGGTCTGGGAATGTGGCGTCATTAAGTTGCTCCTCGAAATCTGCTCCTCGAAGCAATCAATCTGGTGCAAAGTCCAGTTGTCGGGGTCGCCCTTACCAGAAGGAAAGAACCCGGTATTCAAACCGAGTTTGAAACAGTAGCTTGTTTTAGCGTCAACGCACGCTCGTCAATTTGGTCAAGGATACGAAGTTGCAAGGTTCTGAGTGTTCACAGTTCAGTGAAGACTCGTGCAATAAGTCGAGGCGGCAGCAATTGAACAAATATGGTAGGGTGTGAAATGCGAATCTTTTCCAGAGACAGCACCAACGAGCCCTGGCACACATGAGTTGCCCGGACGAGTCCATTGCCGGGCGAGTTGACGTCTTATCTCACATGCACAGAAAGATCCTCGTCAGATCGCGAAGCTTCCGCTGCCACCACTCTACTCACTCACTTCGCTGCATTTCAACATCTTGCTTGAAACACGCCACCCTTCCGCTTGCCTTCTTTCATTCCGGCTCTCCGCAGTGGTTTGTCCTGACCTCCGCCCGCTTATTTCAGATCCGCGTCGATGGACTCGGCCGATGGCGGCCTCCGCGGGCGGCGCGCGAGCGGTTCGTTTGTGAGCGACGACATTCTGGTGTACGAGGAGGAGGTCCCGCACGGCTGGTTGTTTCCCCGCTGCCAGGCGGTCGTCACGCACGGCGGCGCCGGCACAGTCGGGGCGGCCCTGCGCGCGGGCAAGCCCGTCATGGTCGTGCCCTTCTGGGGCGACCAGTTCCTGTGGTAAGGGCCGGGGCAGGTCGCCAGACAGATAATCCTGCCAGGCCCGAATCGTGCATCTAGATCGAGCGGTTTTCCTTGTTTATTGCTAGTTCAGTCGTCAAGTTGCTGCTTCAAGAAGAGCGATCTGGACGTCGAGCCAGACTTCCTCTAATGCTGGATACGACGTTATCATCTGACAAAAGTATTTCGGCGCCTCTTCGTGTTACGCATCAGCACTTTCTCTGCCGTCTGTCCAGTCGCTTAGCCGCTTGTTTCTCGGTCACGCGAAGCGGGCGTTGCCTTCTTGCCTTGATCTTTTGTCATTTTTGTCCAACCCTTCATCTCGATTCGCTGCTTGGAGCTTTCTGACCGTTCATCTTCGATCTTTCAGGGGCCAGCTCGTGGCGGCTGCGGGCGTGGGGCCTTCTGCGGTCCCTGTGAGCAAATTGACGGAAGGTAAGCATGCCACTCGCTTGCCAGTACAGCCCCTGTTTCTGCTGGTGGCGCGAGGTGCAGCGGACCATTTTGAGCACAAGACTTCCTCACGCAGACTGCGACAGCATAGAAGAATTTGTTCAAGCAGTATTCTGCAGGGAGCATGCTTATTACTTTCTGGTCCTCCATTTTGCGTCTTTTGGGTCGACCTGTCGTCCGGTCGCTACTTTTAGTCTCTCAACCGGGACACTTGATGCGGAGCAATTGACACGTTATCCTTCTCGAGTGTCTCCAGATGCGCTTGCGAACGGTCTCGAGGCGATGTCCCGCGACGACGTGGTGCGGGCCGCAGCGCGGTTGGGGGAGCGGATCAATAGGTGGGTCGACTTTGGAGCGCTGCGTTTTAGGCAGAGAATATCTTGCTGGCGGATGAAGCGGCGCAAGCATCAGCCTTGCTTGTCGCAGCCAGAAAGTTTACTGCGAAGTTCTGTCCATTATTCCGCAACTGTGTCGATGCGTACCCTCTGCCAAATGCCTTCTCCCGTGTGAATGTAACTCCCTCCGTTCGCAAATGATGGGGCCATCGGAAAGCCTCGCTTACTCATTTTGATTCCCTGGGTTCTGTCAGCCCTTCAAAGGTCTTCTTATCGACTGTCCGCACAAGCGATAATGCGGGTCAGTTCTTGCATATGTCACATCATCAGTTTAATGACGGCGCTTCTCCTTCAATGTCATCGCAAGCGCCATACCAAGATGGTCCCGGCCTGCTCGCATCCCACGTCAGCTAACAGAGCCCGCTCTCCGCATACAGTCGCGAGAACGGGGTGCTGGCGGCCGCGGAGCACATCCAGTCGTCGCTGCCCCTGGAGGCGCTGCGCTGCGACGCATGCGGGGAGCGCTCCGCGCGCGCGTGGGCCTGCCACAAGCTGCAGAAACTGTGCCCCACCTGCCTGCAGGCACGTTTCGTGCACCGCACCACTTTGTTTCGACTAGTCCTCCTAGATCTGCCAGTCGTCTTCCGTTGCCATTTCGTGCTCGCTCTCGCAGTGACTTATCTCTAACTGCCGCGCGCAGTGAAATAAAGATGAGGTTGTGGGAAAGATTGTTTTGCGCCGGGCCCAGAGGCACGTGCCCCAATGACTATCATCAGCACAAAGCGCAGTTTTCTGACTGTTAGTGTCTACGAATGCTATCTGAGTGCGTACGAGAGCCGACTCGATCGCTGATGTCCCCCAGATCATTACCGTACATTCGTCAGCTCGTGAAGCTCCTCGGTCCCGCCTTTTGGATTGCGGTTGCTTGTTCTGAGTCTGCTTGCGGCGGCATTCTGCCGCTCCCCCTACAACTCCCCGTCACGTACACGAGTTGACGTGTCACTCTCCGTTATCAGGACCTGGCGCGCGGTGCCTTGAAGCCCCCCGAGGTGCTGCCGTACGTCCCCCTGGAGTGGCGCCTCAGCCGTCCCCGGGGGGACTGCTGCGGCATGTGCCCCGAGAAAGTGTTCACACCAGAGCAAATGCGCGAGGCGGGCTGGCGGTCCAGCACGGCAGGTCAGTGGCGGTGTGAATGCGGGCAGCGGGTCACGGTCGCAGTGGGAAGCAGTTTGAAATCTCCCAGATTGTTTGATTAAGGTTGCCTTTTAAGGACAAGATTAGGACGGTCCCTTGCTTGTCGATTGTGAGTGTCCTGCGAGGTCGAATGTGAGTGTCATGCGAGGACAAAACCGGTCCCAAAGATGAGAGCGAGTCCAAGTCCGAGTTCCGACTGTTTGGCGGTTGGGGGACCAGAGTCCATGCTTGGCTATGATTCTTTGTTCCAGACAAAGATCCAGCTTTACAGGCCTCAGTTGTTACGCATTTGCGGTTTGTGTAGGCTGGTCAAGCGAAAGGCGTGGTTGATGCTGAGGGAGCTCTTTCTCTCTGATCATGCCATTGGGGTCGTGGTTCGCTCTGTATCATGCTGTCTCTCTGGTTATCGCCGTTTTGACGCCATGTTTGGTTGCTGCAGTTCGACGGGTGGTGGGCGCATTCCGCTTTCCGCAGGGGGACGAGAGTGCAGCGAGGAGAGAGAGCCCAGCTGGCGGCAGCTAACAGCTGCTGTGTCGCGGACCATGCACGCGTATAGAACCGAAATGTTGATAAATGTTGTCACGCAACTCACAACACTTTTGCGCGTGAACAGATCCACCGATTCAACAAATAGTACGGGTTGAAAGTAGTATTTGGAGAGCGGAGGCCTGCCTTGTGCAGAATCAGTTGCATAATAGCAACTGGCCGGCTCGCAGCCAATCTACTATGAGCTCTTAAGAGCGTGATATGGATGATACAGGTGGCAAATGCTAAGATCCGAATATATGAAACGGGTGCTTCTACAATGTTTCGATTGACGTGCTATTCGCACATGGTGCACTTTCCTGTTCGCTACTTTTAAGAAGTCATCGCTCAGTTATATCAATGATCAATGTCAACAACGTGGTTCGGTGACGTCAACGAAGGCATACGAGGCCCCAGGGGGTAATTTTTTGCACATTTGTTCTACAGCTTGCCAGCTCCTTGAAGACAATGTCGCATTGCGGAAACATTAGAGGTGGGAGCATGTACGTAGCTCGATGCATGTTTCCTTGAGCCTGCTCATGATATGTGCACATCCTCCACAATGGCGGACTCTGTCCGAATTGCAGATTGCGTTGATTATGGATATGATCCATTGCAAGGCCGGAGATAGGCTGACTGATGGACCAGCTTTAAGTTAACTGCAGATCAGGATTTATTATGTACGATCTAAACTGAGCTCCTGTTAGTACGCATATATTTCCAATCACTCTATTACATTGACCCATGCACACATTGTTTTGTGGTAGACATAGATATGCCGCATGCATTCCTTGGAGAGCGATGCACTGATCAACAGCTCCTGATTCGCTCTCAAACCTTGCACCATGCACCATACCATGTGCGGCCCATGCATGGTTCCGAAGTAGCATACAAATTGGGACAAACCAATTAGCCCTTCGGGGATGAGTCAGATCCACCAGTGAGCAACACAATATTTGTACCTTAAACAACTTGTTTAAGATGATGCTTGGCAGGCATTATCACCCCCCGCTTCACGAACTTCTAGGCAAAGTTCGGAAACAATCTGTGAAGTGGCGTAACCCTTGCATGCGACTAAAAACCTTGATTCAGTGTAAACTAGAGTTGACTCTTTGCCTGTTCATCAGCAGAGTTCTATCGTCGACCAATCTAGCTCGGGGGTATCGCCCGACGACTGCAACATGGTAGAAATGGAGAAGTCCTTGTGATGTTGCACCTTGCCGGAAAAGAGCTGACCGTTGGGTTGTAGATGAACAATCTCTGAAAGCGCCTGCGCCGCAGCAGCTCTTCGACAATTGTCGAAAGCTGTCCTGTAGATGCATGTTTGACCAGAACGAGACTAAATGAAGGTAGTAGGATTCAAACGTACGTTCTGGCGGACGAGTTCTGGTCAAATGTGCTCTCTGCCCTCTCTGGGACGCCATGCTTGTTCCCTGCAAAACGTGACGATGTGTCAACAAAGTATATACGTTCCCTCTAACCGATCACCCCGAAGAGCCAAACCGAATTCCCAGTACTACTCGTTGGCCAGTCTCATGCAACCATCTGGATTTTTGTGTCCAAGAAAGCCGGAACAGTCATCACGGTATTGGACGTGACATTTACCTGAGAAGTAGAAGCTTGTCCTCGTGCAAGACCTCCTTCAACAGTAACTGGCGCCACAACTGCCCAAGCTCCACCGTAGAATGCTTCGAGCCGCTCATGTGGTCCACACTTTGGCAGTCCCATCCACAGAACATGTCAGCAGACAGGGCTGGGCCGTGTGAAATGCGAGGCCGGTCACCTGCAGACAGGGGGACAGATTGACTCGTCAATCAAGAGCCAGAACCATGTTTTGACAGTGCATTCGCAAGCGAGCAAGCGCCGGAGTGGGCACCCCAACTGACGTACTCGAAAAGGTGACAATAACCGCACAGATCGCCGAAGTAACACTTTAGAGCAGATTTTTGTCCGGAAAGCAGCCTGGGCTCGGTGTGACCATACCGTGCCAGCGTGTGCCTGGAAGGCGGTCCTGGTGGCCTCCTCGACGAGGTCCCAGCAGAAGACTTGGCCGTCTTCGGAGCCGCTCAGCACGACCGCGTCATCGTTGCTGAAGCAGCTGCCCAGCTTGTACGACTGCACAGCAGAAAACAACCTGAAGTTGAAGCCCTAACACAGCCCAAGCGCCAAATATTTATTCAGTGACGTGGATACAAGGAGCAAGGAATGACCGGATCGGAAGCCTGCAGTGTGGATATTCAGCAGATGGAGCTACTAGCCTGTTGCCCAAGTGCGGATCAGTCTGGGTTTGTCCACATGAGCTCGTGCTGATGCAGGAGCGTAGGATGACAATAAAAAGGCATCATGTCCGCATGAGCTCAGGTTCGTAGGCAAAAACAGGTCAATCTCATTCTGACAGACGGTGGACAAGAGACTTGTTGACCAAGATCAGCAGCCACGACAAAGATGACGAAGTAAAAACATGACAAACCCTCAGCTTGGCAATCCTAAGACCTTCTAGCTTCAACAACTACGCAGCGGGCAGAATCGAAGTGCTGACCTTGTTTGTGTGCCCGCGGTACTCGTTGAGAACATCCCCCAAGGCCCTGCACGCATGACGAGGCAATGAAATGAGAACCAAGGAGAAAATCAGCCTCTCATAGTGTTTTTGTTGGAAACACCACCGCAGAACCCAGCGGTGGGGCAGCCACCAGGACTTGCGGTGATTGTCTTACCTGTCAATCAAGCGGAGGGTGCTGTCCAGGCAGCCTGCCAGGATGCAGTTGCCATCGTTAGAAAGGCTGATGCAAGTCACGGGCTGGCCCAGGTGGTCGCTCGTCACCCTGCACAGCCCACGCGCACTGTCAGCACAGGGGCGTTTGGAAGGGCATCAATGGCAAAGACTTCCCTGCAACAAACAACGACCAAGCAAAACGCCAAGACAATGCAACTTTCAGCAAACGTGTTGATTAGCGAGCGACTTGGCAAGAAGAGTCTGATGAAGCTGCATGTTGACACACGCAATAGCTGGCGCACGAAGCTACTTAGTATGCATCAAGAAATGTTGACAATCAGTAAAAGAGAGGGGCCACATGGAACTCCGTCGACATGCTTGACCTTTGCTAGCGCAGTGGGTAAGGAACCAGGAAGATGGGGCAGATGACCACCAGCTGGACCAGATAATGGCTTACCTGCCATGCCGGATATCAAAGGTGCGCACCGTTCCATCGACGCTGCCACCCACGATCTCGGATTTGGTCAAAGCAATGGAGGTCACGCTGTCGCTGAAGTGCTCCAAGGACTGTGAAGAAAGACAAAACGGCTAGGGGTAATCATTTCCTCTCAAGTTCTTCCATTTGTTGCACTTCCTGACTGTTTGCAACTCTCTCAAGCAAGGAGATAAAGCAGCAGTAAGCAAGAAATATGCAGCAAGCACAGACTCACGTCCAATGCTGACCTGTATGGCATTAGCGCTCTGCGACCTGCAATCCCAAACTCGAATACTGCGGTCGTAGCCCGCCGACACGACCACCGACGATTCATCATTGAAACAGACGGCATTCACCTGCACAGCAGCGGGAAAGCCAGAACAGAAGAAACAATTAGCACCACTTTCCTCACGACCTGCTCTTGTTCTTTAAATTCAGCAATTAGAAGGAGCATCTACTTGGTCCCCACTGGTTGACATTCATGAAAGGTGCCGAGCAGGAGGCGCACCTCGCTGTCATGGCCCCTGAATCGCCGGATGATCCTCCCCGTGGAAACATCCCACAGGAAGACTTGCTTATCGCCTCCGCAGGACGCCAACCTCCCATTGTCACTGCAAGTAGAGATGGTGTGACTTTCTAAACTGCAACAAGCAGGCAGCATAACTCTCAAACTTTCCCTCAATGAAGGCCCAACAGATGCGTACTCACCACATATTTGCAGCGGGAACCGATGACTTATGGACCAGCAAGGCAAAGAGCTGGGAGACACGCATAGCTTGCTCAAATGTTGTTCTTCCAAGTCATTGTGTTCTGCAGTTCATGCCCATTGTCAATATAAGTTATAGCCCAAAAGCAAGGCAGAAAAGCGTGGCGTACCTTGCTGCTGCCACGTCTCGCACCTCGTGTCCATGGCCAAGGTATGACTTTATTGCTAACCCTTTGTGAGGGTTCCAAAGCCTAATCGATCGATCCTTGCCGGTGGTAAGGCAATACTTCCCATCATAGTTGAAGCGCACCGACAAGACAGCCCCCTCATGCCCCTTGAGAGTTGCCGCTTCCTTTGTCGGAATGTTTGTAAAGCTAGCGGCGGTCATGGCCGCATCTCCCATCCTTCATGCCGTTCAGATGTGGATCATATCAAGAGCGATTGGCAATCTCTGAAAAGTTTCTCAGACTCAAAGGCAAAGCAATGCATTCAAGTTGACTTGCAGTGCAAGCACCTGGAGCGGGTCGAAAGAGGTACCGGAGCTACGGGTATGGTACCAGGCTCTTATAGGTAATAGGTCTTCTGGTACCCACCTGGATAGACACGTGACCCATAGAAGCCTTTTGATTGGCTTTGAGCTCCGGCCCATGATCCTGTGGCGCTTGTATGTAATGGATTAGGGTTTGAGGCTGCACAGTCTGATGAGCAGGACCTGTATATGTATTAACGTTTGGGAAGGCGAACTCTGCAGGAGCCATGCTCAATTCCACCAAGTTCTCCGCTGCAATGGCGTCAGGTTGTACGACCTATCTGGCAGCAGCTTTTCTGGTGGTGGTGTCTAGGGTAGTTGCCGCCTCGCTTGGTCCCTCTCCTGCTGGAGCTATGGCAGCCAGCTCGTTGCAAGCACATGGAGCGGAGCAGGCTTTGCCTGAGCAAGCAATAGCTGAGAGTCTGGATGCCACTTGGCCCCAGGTGGAGGCCCAGAGCTGGCCCGATTGCGTTGTGGGGCCTGACAACTACAAGTACATCTTCCTAGGTATGAAAGCCGATGCTAATCTTACTGGCAGTAGGAGCTGGCTTTGGGCGCACATAGAGATCACGAAAGTTTCCGTGCAATGTGTGGTACAAGTATGATTCAGGGACGTTTTAGTGTCGGCTAGTTGGGCTGCATATTGAAGTGGGTATTGCATTCTCCGACGTCACGAAGTGTGCGCTGTACTCTTGCAGGGGCTGTGCCTGGGGGCACCAAGGAACTGCACATTGACCTGAGGAAGCAGTGGGATGGGGTAAGCAGGCCTAGTCTGCCACCTGGCAGTATTCTAATGAGGCACTGGCACCCCTGGGCAATCACCTGGAGTGCAATGCCAGAGTGGTGGAGTGTGACACCACTTATTAAAGACTCCGTCTAGAGTCGATTGACAACCCCCCATTAGCCCCGCCGCTCCCTGCATCACCTGACAAAGTCCAAAACCTCGAATCAGCTTGAATAATCACTGGTGCAGGCTCATTGGAATGTGGCGCCAGCAGCGTCAGCATCAACCTGCACAGATCAAAGATGACTATTGTCTGCATCTTGCAGGAGTCAGGGCCCATGCTTTGCCTACGCCGAGGAGGCCCCCCTCTCCCATCGAATACAACATGTGAGCCATTGCATGATGCTGTCAAGACATCGTTTGCAGTGAGGCCTTCACACTCTGCTGCGACGTTATGATGGGCACACGGTGTGGTTCATGTAAAGCTCCAACTGGGCGATTTTATTGACATCTCTCGACAAGAAGTCAGCTCTTGTTTGTTCGTCTGATGAGGACGTTGAGTTTTCTCATGGTATGAAAGATGAAGAAACCTTTGTGGATCAGATCGTACCCTCAGATAGCCAGTACGTCGTCAAAAGTCTGGGCTTGACAGTGAGCTACTTCGTGGCCAGATTGGCCAACATCTGTCCTTACACGCTCTGGTTGGGAAGGACAGCCCCATCATCGCCTCTTTCCAAACAGCTCCCCATCCAATGCAGGGCTGTCTCTCTCGGGAGCGGCTACTGCGGCTGGCTGGGCGGTCAACAGCAGCTTTGTAGGCGCGTGCGGCCCCTTCGTTGCAGACATGCACCTTGCCCTGTCTGAGGCGCACGTCCTAGAAGGGCCCTGGTGGCTGGCCCTCTTCACGGACCCATCCGAGACGCGCTTCCAGTCCAAGATGGTGAGGACCTGGATGGCGAACTTTTCTGCATCCCCATAAGTCACGAAGCCCTCCCGTATCTTGTCTAGAATTGTTAGCGACAATCTCATCTCACAGGTTTCCAGGACAACACACCAGTAGTATGCTTGTCAATGAGCCCCAATTGCGATGCTCTGAAAAGTCGCTACTTACCTCTTTGATCCCTTCGCTATTATAGATCCAGCGGGGGCCCGTGTATCCCTTCTCCCTCAATGTCACCATCGCTGGGTGCGGCAGCGGGGAGCAATGTCAGCAGAACAAATTGGGTTCTCTTCAGGCTGGCGGGGGCCTTGACTCAGATGCCACAGCTTCCCAGGCACCACTTCGGCTGGCGAGCAGTCCCCCCTCCTTCGTTGAGGCCATGTTGCAAAACGGGCAGACGCTCTTGTCCACTCTGGAGTCCACTCTCCCCTGGTCAAATCCGGCGCCTTCGGCGAGAAGCGATCCCACCGCCGCTGCCCCAGCAGCCACCTCAGCCGAGTGTTACTCTGCAAACCAGTCGTTCCCCTTGTATGTCCCTTCCCCCGCCACTCTCAACCTCTCTCTCCGCCTGCTGCAAAGCCCGGACGGAAGCCCGTTACCCAACTTCAGCGCTCAGCTAAGGTGGGGTGCCACTCCCGTTGTCCCCAGCATGGGGGCCCCAGTTCCGGACGGGCAGATCAGCATCCCGTCTGCGGGCCTCCTGGAAGCGCAGGTGCCGAACGCGCGGGCCGGGTGGTGGTACCTGCGGATCGTTTCTGAGAACGCCACTGGTGATGGGCGGTTCTGTGTGGAGTCGTGGCAATGGGAAGCAATCGGCTGTGAAGAAGGGCGGGCCGGGGAGCGGTGCGCGTGGCCAGTGACCAGGCTCGGGGTAAGGCCAGCCGGACCTCCTAATGCTTCCTGGTAAGAAGGGGACCCAGTCGACGAAGGTGGATCTTTGCTGTGAGTTGCTCCTTGCCAGGCTTTCCAATCTTCCAGAGCATCGGGGTTATGCTCGTGGCTCCTTGCTATCCACCTGTCTGCGGAGACTCGAAGGCCCCCCCAATACAGAAGGTGGGGTATCATTTGATTGTGGCCAAGTTCGCACCGTTTGGCGGTGCAAATAGAAAGACTTGTGTTCTGGCTCACATCTTCGACGGTCGGCCCGACTCTGTGCTTTTCCGTGTGTCCGTGCAGCGGGTCCTCACCAGCCCCAGCTTCAGTGCGCTGTATCGTCCCACCAGCTGGGCAGACACAGCGGGAGGCTGGTTCACCGTTCACATGTCCCCGCCGCTAGCCGCCATCAGCCAACGTGCAGTGCAGATTCGTCTGATCAACGCCGAGTCACCGAGTAGCAGCCTAGTAGCGAGTGGGCGGTGGGCGTATCTGTCATTTCCGATCTCGGACGTTTCGGCAGGTCAAACCCTCGCCGTAGAGGCACGCTGGTCTAAAGACTCGAGCCCCTCGGGACGAGTGCACTTGTTCTCGAAACTAGGCGCCGCTCCGACGGCGGACGACTTCGACTTCGCAACCTCGTTCAACGGGTCCACGAAAGCCTCGAAGAAAGTTGGGGTGGGGCAAGATTGGCCAGCAGACGGTGCCGCGCGCCTGTCCAGGGGTAAGACGGACAGCCTCAGCGTATCGGTGCAGTATCCTGCTGCGGGTGCTTGGTACGTGGGCCTGTTCTTTGCCCCCATTTTGGAAGACACGTGGCCAGCTGCTTCCGACCCCCCTGGGGAGGTGCTACCTGTGGAGTTGCGGGTGCGGGTGGGGGGCTGCCCGAGGGACTGCTCGGGACACGGCAACTGTGCGTCCTACTTCGACGAGGGCAGGGCGCGGGTCTGGAGGTGAGACGGGAATGCTGTCCCCCGGCCTCGATCCTTCAGTCCTGCTAGAGCGGGGACAAGGAGAATCGGTACCGGACGGAAGCTAAGGCTGGGGCCTGTTGGATTTGCGGG